AAAAAAAAAAAAAAACAAACAATAAATATTAGGGAACTTCTAAGAGCACCCACAATGCTTTGAGTTTCTTAGAAAAAAGTTACATGCCATGTAAGAAATAGACCTAGTCTATAAAAAAGTGTTCTCCAATGCAATTAAAAGTGGACCTAGTCTAGCTTATGTGGCAATAAAAAAATGAGACCTAGTCCACACTTGGGTCTATTTTAGACCCAAGTACAAACCCAAGCACTCATCATTTATTCCTCATTTAATTTTTCTTTTAATAAATGAAATATACTAGAGCATTTTTATTGGTTGTCATGTATTCTAGACCTAGTACTTTTTTGTTTTGCATTGGATAGATTTTAGTTTTTTTAGTTTAGGGTTGTCCATGTCATTATAGACTTAAGTCTATTTATTTGCCACATATGCAAAAAGAGACCCAAAGCATTGTGGATGCTCTAAAGAGGCATCCATAAATATTTTGAAGAGGCATCCATAATGTATATGCTTATGCAAGGATCAAAGTTCATAAATTTTATGACTTATGACTAATTGATTTTGGAGAAATAATTTTCAGGTAGATAGCCCAACACTTGATGTTAGTCGTGAAAAATGTGTGCCCCATTTTTTTTTTTTCTTTAGGGAGATTCTAAGGTCTTGTTATAGAACTATTTCGTCGGGGTTTATAACCGTTAGATAACGGTTATATGTAACAGTTAAAAATTCTGACGTAATAATTCTGTAACGAAACTGTAGCATTTCCTCAAATTTTAATCTCAATACTTATTTTAACTTTTAATTATTTTTTTCTGTTACATATACTAATTGATTAATTTTATATTGCACAAATTTTTCACTTACTTGTGGTTAAATTAGGGCAGGCTGAGTATAGATAATAAAAAGATGGAGATTCAACCTTATCTAGATTTGAATTTTGATACGTCAAAAAACTCAACTTTTGGGCTTCATGTAAAAGCTTGAATTTGAAAAGACGCTCACTTTAAAGGGCACTCGTATCCGCCCGTATAACACACTGTGTACGGAGTTGATACTTTGTGATTATTTATTTATTCAAGTTTTCCTTGGCCTTATTCTTTCAGTAATGGCTGCAAAAAAAGGCGAGGGGCCTGCAATCGGAATTGATTTGGGGACGACCTACTCATGCGTGGGCGTGTGGCACCACGACCGCGTCGAGATCATCGCCAATGATCAAGGTAACCGCACGACGCCGTCCTATGTCGCTTTCGCCAACGGCGAGCGTCTCATCGGCGAAGCAGCCAAGAATCAGGCCGGCGTGAATCCCGCAAACACCGTCTTTGGTCAGCTGCTTTATTTTCCTATTTTTCTTTTGTTTTCTTTTCTTTTCGCCACAAGAGATTTTGGCTGGTATAATTGAGGTGTTAATATTGGTATTAGTTCCTATTAAGAAACAAACGTATTCTAACCGTCTTGTTTGGTGCAGATGCCAAGCGGCTGATCGGGAGACGATACAGCGATGCCTCTGTGCAGGCCGACATAAAGCTGTGGCCGTTCAAGGTTGTCCCGGGCCCCACTAATAAGCCCATGATTGTGGTCTCCTACAAGGGCGAGGAGAAGCAATTCCCCCCTGAGGAGATATCGTCTATGGTCCTCACCAAGATGGCCGCCATTGCTGGCTCCTTTCTTGGCCCCACCCCTATTCGGGATGCTGTCATTACCGTCCCAGCCTACTTCAGTGACTCTCAGAGACAGGGCACCAAGGATGCTGGTGCCATTGCCGGCCTCAATGTCATCCGTATCATCAATGAGCCCACTGCCGCCGCCATTGCATATGGCCTCGATTACAAGGCAGCTGCCGCTGCTTGGGGAGAGAAGAAAAACGTGTTTGTCTTCGACTTAGGCGGTGGCACCTGCGACGTCTCCCTCCTGACGATCGACAAGGGTACCTTCGAGGTGAGGGCCACTGCTGGCGACACCCACCTTGGCGGGGAGGATTTCGACAACCGCATTGTTGCTCACTTTGCTGCCGAGTTTCAGCGCAAGTACAACGAGGACCTCTCCGAAAACCCTCGAGCCCTACGTAGGCTAAGGACAGCCAGCGAGAGGGCAAAGAGGATTCTCTCGACCAACATTGAGACCACTGTGGACATTGAGTGCCTG